TATCCGGATACCTGTGGCCTGCTCTCTGGTCCTTCAGCTCCTGCTGAATTTTCTTGAGAACTCGGTCCTCCATCGTCTCTTTCCTTTTCGTGACTTTTTTCTATGACTAATGATTTTAAAAATAATGAAAAATTAGTATATTTCTACAAAATTCTAACATACATTTAAAGTTCAATTAATAAAGGTGCTTGCCTCACTCTCCATACTGTGTCCAGAGTTACGCTGGTCGAGCATCCTGCGCAACAGCTCGTCAAGCTCCGGGCGGGACACTGACGAGCAATAAAGTGAAACATACCAAAATGAAAGTGTCATACGATTGCAGACAGGCTGGTGGCAGCTACAAACAATAGCTGATAATTTCACCATCACTACCCCAATTTATAATTTTTTATCCTTTACCTATAAAACAGAACCGTGGAAAAAGCCAACACACTACAGGAGCATTCGGGCTCAGACTGCAGAAGCATGTCATTCTGGATGGTTTCGAGATTAGCAGCTATTAGCATCCAGCTGTCTGATCTCGCCGCCGCCCAACATTCAGTAGCAGTGGTTCCCCCTCACTGCTGACATGACACACGTGCATAGTCCAAGGCTGCAGGCCCCTATAGCTATGTCCGCAACTGTATAATGCCCGCGCAATTTAACTCAACCGGAAGTTGGTATGGCATCAGAAAGACACCGTCTAGTCGTCCAGTTTGTTTTTGTTTACTCCGTAAATCAGTGTATTAACTCCTGTTTGTCTCAGATGCCACACACACAGAGCGTAGAGGCAAGGTCAGCATAGACAAGCACACTGCAACAGGGCATAAATCTTCAGAATTGGATTTTACAAATCTATTATTTTGCGAATTTCCACTTTTATCGTTTCTGGTGCGAGTTGGCACTGCCTTTTCGCAGTGCAAGCACGCTCCCCTACAAAATTTATGGGATCGACGATATGGACAAAGATGTTGTGAGGCGAGAAAAAGAAAGAAAAATAAAGTGCCTCAGTCTGCTCCAGCGTTAGCATTGCAGACTTAACCCAATTGAAAATAAAATAAATAGGGGTATGACCCAGAAAATAATTTTAATAAAAGCCAATTTGTTGGTAAGAAAAAAAAACCCACTAAGTATCTATCGAAACCACCCCAGGGGACCGGGACCGGGCCCGGACCAACCAGCGGCGTTTATTTTTAATTCTATTTAGTTTCTTCTGTTCTGTTCTTTGTCTTCTTGTCTTGGCTTACAATGATCTTGTTTCTTTTTCTTCGCTTTTTTCTTTCTTTGTTCTTCTTTTTCTTCCCTTTTCTTCTCTCTTTTCCCGTTTCCTCCTTTGTTCGTTTGGTATTTCCTAAAAGAAAAAACTAAAGTGCGGGATCAAGGACCCCCCTCCCCCCTCCTCTCCCCCCCATATTCTCCAATCCTCCACTCAGGGAGGACTTTTGTTTGTTATTATTGTACATATATTTCTAATATTTCTCTATGTATTGATTTCTCTATGTATTGCATTGCCTATTTCTAGTATATCTCTATGTATTGCACTGCCTGTTTCTCATATATTTCTATTTATGGCACCTCGCGTCTTGTGTAGGCGGTGAGTATTTGTCCTGGTTGAATGGTCGAAATGAGAGGTCTGGAAGACGCTCCCTTTCCTGCCCACTCCTCTCCCCCCCCTTTCCTCTTTCCTTTCTATACATGTATAGTTATATATATATAATTTTTTTTTTTTTTTGAGATTTGCATGATACTCTTCGTCCATCTTCAGGTATTCCCGTATCGTAGTTGAGCTGCATTGTTGTGGTTGTTGTTTTAATTCTGTGTGTGTATTTTTTTTTTTTTTGTGAGTGTGGATTGGAGGGGTTTTTAGATTGTTGGCATTACTGTTTTTTTTTATGTTTCTCTATGTCTATCTTTTTTTTTCCCATTTTTATTTGGTTTGCCTCCTCCTGTTGTGGTAATTAGTCCTATTTTTTTTTTTCCCCTTGGGGGGGGGGGGGGGGGGGGGGGGGGACGGTGTCCTCCCGAAACCCCCTTTTCGTTCCTTTTCCTTCTTTTTTTTTGATGAGTTTTGCCGTGGCGCTGGTGTCAGTCTCCTGTTTTCAATCAGTCCGCGTCATTCCATGAGTTTGATGGGGCCCGACGTGACTCCGCTATCCTGTCTTGGACACTTCGCGACCCTACCCCGAAGCCTAGGCCGGGGGGCGGGCAGGCGGCCCCGACTCCCCGGGAAGGAGTCAGCGACCCACTGAGAACCGGGCGACGCTCGTCACCCCTCCTCCGCGTGTCCTGTTCTTTTGTTGTCACCTTTCATTCTCTGTTTTTTTTTTTTTTCTTTTTCTTGTTTTGTGTGGGGGAGGTCCCGGTTTCTCCCCCCTATTTGGTCCCTGTGTGTTTACACGTCACTTTTGTGGGCGGGCCCCGTTCTTTTGGCCTTTTTGGCTGTTTGTTCGCATGGACTGTTTCTTGCGTTCTTTTGAGTGTGCACTGGCGTCCTTTCTGGGTTTCTGGTTTCTTTTTTTTTTTTTTTTTGGTTTATTTGTTTATTTATATGTTATTTATTTTTATTTTTTTGTCGCCGTCTTTTCTTTTTTTGTTTTTACCACTTCCTAGGAGGTTACTTGTCTCTTCTGTCTTATCCTTGTCCTGTTCTTTTCAGAACGTTTGGGACTTTTATTTATCTGATACACTTTAACTACCTTTTTGTCCTCTTTTTTTATGGGTTTGAGATAGTTTTGTTTATTAGTTCTACTATGTTCTCTAGTATCTTTAGTTCATTTTCGCTTTGAATAATTATTTTTTTTATGTCGTTCGTTAGACCTGATGGATTTTTTGCTAAGAAGATATCGCCGAGTGTTTTAGTGATCGGACAGTTCTCAATGTAATGTATAAATTCTTCTGCCTCCGCCCCACACTCACAATTGCTGTGTTCCGTTTTTTTTTTATTTTCTTAAAGTAGTATGGAAATTTCCCGTGGTTTGTTATGAGTTGAGTTTGGTAATAGTTTGTTGGAAAGTATTCTGGTATGTTGTGAATGGACTTTATCCAACTATGTGTGTTTATGTCCGTAGTGCTCTGTGTCCATTCTTCATCCCAGGTGTCCCTCATACTTTTTTCAATTTCGTTTTTAATGTGTTTTTTTGACATCTTTAATTCTATTGGTGTGCCTGTATTGCGTGCGTCATTAGCCAATTTGTCCGCCATGTCGTTCCCGTCGTTATTAGAGTGTCCTTTGATGTGATGAAGATAGATTTTATGTTTGAGAAGAATTAGTTTTATTGTGACTTTTATCTTATATACTATTGGGTTGTTGTTATATGGGTTTTCTATTGCTTTTAATGAAGATAGACTATCTGAGTATATTGCAAAAGTGGTATTATTTTCATATTTTTCAATTTCCTTTAATGCTTCTAATATAGCGATCAATTCAGCCTCGTATATATTTGCGTATATTGGTAGTTTTATTTTTTTTATAGCTATGATTGATTCCGCTTGGTCGGTTATGAGGTAGCTGGCGCCCACTGATGTTTTTGCGACTGAACCATCGGTGTAGATCTTATGTTCAGTTGGTATAGCGGTTTGATTATTTTTTCGGAATGAGAAGCCCTCCAATTTTGCCGGGTGCGTCCTCCATACCTCGATGAGATGTTGGGTTTCGTTTTTTTTATATTGTTTCCCGCCAATTGTATAATCTTTTTTATTCTGAAAAATATTAAATGTTGCTACTTCCTTATTCAATGTAAGTTATATTGGTTTTATGTTTGCAAGTATATTAAGGCTTTTATTGCTAACCGTCCTGTAGGCCTTAACAATTTTTATGAGTGGTATTCTTTGTACCGATGTCATTTTTCTAAGTAGGTGCGATTTATTGGTGGATTTCCAGTAGACCGCTGCTGCGTAAACTATTGTTCTTTCGATTGATTTTATATAGATATCTCTGAATTGTCTGGGTTTAATTCCCCATTTTATTCCTGCAAATGTTGCCAGTTTAGTTGTGTTTTGGTATATTTTAGATTTAAGATAGTTGGCATGTTGAGTAAATGCTAGATTTCGATCGAATATGACGCCCAATATCTTGAGTTCTTCTGTATGTTTTAGATTCTTATCTCCGAATTTTACTTGTGGTGGCCTTCTTTTATACTCCTTTCCAATTGTTATGTATTGACATTTCGTTTTATTGAAATTAACTTTTTTCTCCTTGCTCCAATTGTCTATGGTTACTAGTGTTTTGTTCGCTCTCTGTTCTATTTCCAGTCTGTTTTTACCTCTAATTATGATTGTAATGTCGTCTGCGAATGCCTGGATGTATGTTCCCTCTTCAAATTTAAGATCTAGTAATGTGGCGACGAAGATGTTCCATATTAGGGGGCTTAATGGTGAGCCCTGTGGGCTTCCTATTGGAGAGTTTATTGTGATTTCTGTAGCGATTAATTTGTAGTTTATTGTTCTTTGATTTAGAATTGTTCGTAATAGTAAATAGAGGTTTTTGGGAAGTTCATATTCTTTTAGTTTTTGCAGCACGAAAGGTATCCAAACTGTATTAAATGCTTTCGATATGTCTAGTGATATTAGTATGGATTTTTGATTTGCCGCTATATTTTCTACTAGGGTTTCTTTTATTTTTAGTAGTGCCTTGGTTGCTGATTTACCGTTTGTGAAACCGTATTGCTTGGCGTGTAATAGGTTTTTGCTATATAGGCAGTAGTAAATTCGGTTATTTAGTAGCTTTTCTAATATTTTGCCAAATATTGAGTTTATGCAAATAGGTCGGTATGCGCTTGTTTCATGGGGGTTTCCTGTGTTTTTTGGGATCAGAATTGTTTTTGTTTGTTTCCAATGTGTTGGATAGTAGTCATATGCTAAGCACCCATTGAATACGTTAAGGAAGAGTTCTTTATGTTTGTTAAAAAGTGATTTTATTATTGTGGTAGTGATGTTGTCCGGGCCGGGTGTTACCCGGTTTGGAATATTTTTTATGACGTTTTCTAATTCACTGATTACAAAAGGTATGTCTTCTTCGGTTTGTGGGGGTGTTTTATTTCGTCCTCAATTTTCCTTTGTTCTTCACTATATTCATTTGGATTGTCCGCTGGGAAGTGTGCAGTTAGTATAGTTTTTATTGAATCTTCCAATGATGTTGAATTGTTTCCATCGGCTTTCCTGATTGCTGGAATTGTAATGTTTTTTTTCATCTTGTTGAATGCTATTTTGTAAGGGATATTGAATATGTTTGATTTTGTTGTTTCTGTACAGAATGTCTGCCATGTTGAATTGTTTCCATCGGCTTTCCTGATTGCTGGAATTGTAATGTTTTTTTTCATCTTGTTGAATGCTATTTTGTAAGGGATATTGAATATGTTTGATTTTGTTGTTTCTGTACAGAATGTCTGCCATGATTCGATTTTTGCCTTTTTTACATTGTTCTTATATATTTTTGGGCCTCTAGATATATTGATTTTTATTCCTCTCGCATCATGTTTTGACATTTTTGGTGTCTGCGCCTTAATGCTCTTGTTTTTTTCCGTTCCATTTCAAGTTCCGGACTCCACCAAGGGTTTTGTTTAGTGGTCTCGACCACTGTTTTTACATATTTTTTATAAAGATCTTCGAGTTCCTTTATTATTGTGTTGATTATATGTTCGAGGTTTGTTCTTGAGTGTATTTTTTCTGTTTTCGTAAGCTTTATCCAGTCATCGTCTATGATTTCCTCTATGAGTTTTAATTCTCCTTTTTTTGTTAGTTTTATGCATTTATTTTCTATTTTGTTTGAAAGATCAATTCTGATGTAGTTGTGGTCGCTAGCCGAAATTTCGTCTAATACTTCCCATGATTTTATTTTGCCTATTAAATTATTTGTTGCTAGAGTGATGTCGATCCAGCTTTTGCCGTTTGATGATGTGAATGAAGGTAGTGATTCTGGGTCATTAATTGGATTGAGATCATTTTCTAATATGTAGTCACCTAATGTTTCTCCACGATCGTCTAGTTTTTTGCCCCCCCATACTGGGTTTTTTGCATTGAAGTCTCCTACTATAAGTGTTGGTAGGTGTTCAAATGTTTTCGTTATTTCGTTTACCTCCTTGATAGTTTCATTTATGTCATCGTTGGGTGGGGCATATACATTTATCAGTAGAAGTTCCTCTTTTTTTGTAGTTATTACTATTGCGATTATATTTCTTTCTGTTTTTTCTATGTGTAAATTGAATAGTTTGTTGTTGTGGATGATTATGGCTGTTCTTGGTTTGTTTTGTCCTTGGACAATTTTGTCCCTAATGCTAAATCCAATTATTTTATTTTTGACATAGTATGGTTCTTGAATACATGTGATGTGATTTTTTAATTTTTGTTGGTTTATTTTTAGGTGTTCGGTAGCTGTGTATGAGTGATTTAGGTTAATTTGGATTATACTTAACGAATCTTTGTAGTCGGTTTCTGTTTTTGCTGCGAATTTTAGGTTGTTTCCGTGTTCCCTTCCCTTTTCCTTCCCCCCTGCTCTCTAGGCATAATTTATTTTCCGTCGTGCCTTTTCGATTTCCGCGTTTAGTGTAGGACATTTCCGGTCGTAGAAGGAGTGGGTGGTTAGTAAGTTTGTGTGGTCGGATTGGTTTCTGTCGGTGCAGGCGGGGCATCTGTTTGGGCAGGGTTGTCCGGCCTCATCCGTTTCTCCTTGGCACTGTTTGTAGTGGTGTGGTCCACTACATTCCGAACATCTAATTCGTCCCTGGCAGTTCCTCTCGTTGTGTCCGTATCTGCAGCACCTAGAGCACCTTGGGGTGTGGATGTTCTCTCTAACTGGACACGAAGTCCACCCTATAAGGTTCTTTCTTTGAGTTTCTTTGAGTTTTTTTAATAGGTTTGGCTCTACCTCAACAATGTGGGTTTTTGTTTCCTGTTTATCAAATGAAATAATGACCCTGATGTCGTCGGGTTGTCCCTCGAGGTTGTTTTGAGTGATGATTTCAGATTTTAGTTCCTGGTTGGTGATTTCGCGGTCCACCCCGAGGATGGAGATCTGTGGGATTTTTTTTATTGAGATTTTCGCCTCGAATTTCTCCTTTGTTTCGGGGTTTCTTTCTATCTCTTCTTGAAGAGTTAGGAGACCGTCTCTTTTCGAGCTTAGCACTATGGCTCCACCCCGGATTGGTCTGACCTCGGGGTTGGTTAGTCCCAGCTCGTGTGGGGTAAACCTCCTGAGCATTGTCTTCACTGTTTGGAAGTGTTGTGTATCTGCGCTTTCTGTACTGTATATTAATAGGCCGTCTTTGGGCTCGTTTTCTGTGCTTTTCCTTTGTTCGGTTTGGCTGGTGGTGGGTGCCTCGTTAGGTTGGTTAGTCGTGGTCCTTTTCTTGAGAATGTCCGCGTAACTTTGTTCATTTTTTCCTTTTTCATTGTTCGCTAGTTCCTCCCTAAGGGAGGTGTTCTCAGTTGTGAATCTGCTTACTGTCTCTCTAAGAGATTCGTCATCATCTCGATTGCGTTAAGCGTTTTCCCTGCCTTTTTTGTGTTCTTTGTCTCCGACATTAGTTCTAAGAGAGCCTCCGTCAGCTTCCTCTGGAGCTGGGAGAGCTGTTCCCTCTCTGTGAGGATTTCCTTTTCTGGTTCCTCATTTCTTTGAACGCTAGTGTTTAGTTTTGTGGGTTCCTTTTCGGCATCTGTGCCTGGGGTGTTTTCTTTTTCCCTTTCGCTTTCGTTGTTTGGCTTTTGGCTTCCCTTGAGTCTACTGAGCTGCTTGCCCTCCTGGCTATTTTTTTCCCCCTTTTTTGGGTTTTTGTGTTTCTGTTTGTTTGACTTCATTTTTGTTCCTTCCTCTGACATCTCCTCTTCCTCAGTTCTTTTCTCCTTTTCGTCCCTCATTTTTTTTGTCTCGTGGTGTTTCCCCCCGTCCCAGTCTGGGACGTTGAACATGTCACATGGCCTGAAATGTTGGCCTCCCCCCCTCTTTTTTTTTCCTTTACCTTCTGTTATTGGTCGGCGCGTTAGGTGTGCGTCGCGCCCCCTGTAAGTGCTTCCAATGGGCAGATTTCCTCAAGTTAGTGTTTTTTTTTTTTTTTTTTTTTTTTATCTAAGCTGTGTTTTGATGGTCTAGTCAGATAGAGGGGACTTTTCTAGTATGGAGTTCTGCTTGTTGTTTCACTCCAGCTATATTACCTCATTTTTTACGATTTTTCGAAGTTTTGTCAAACTCCCCCCAAAAATTTTTTTTTTCCTTAAATTTATTTTTTAATGAATAGCTGGTTTAATTTCAAGCTTCCTTACGAAAAATGGTTTTGCTCTATTACGGACGGTTGATTTATTATGATTTTTTGAAGTTTGCTGAATTTTGGAGTTTAATTTTTGTGAAGAGTAAACTGGTTACTGTTTCGGTTTCCCCTATTTTGTGACTAGATGGGTAGAGGTGGGTGCTGAAATATGGCGCCCGATGCAACAAGATGGCAGATGCCTAGGGGTTCGCCTCTCTCGCCTATGGCCTACTGTTGTCCCTGTCTATAAGTAGTTTTCTCACAGACAAAATGGCAGCCCCCGTACCTCTCCACTTCGCGACTTTACTTGCTTATAACTCGAGAACTAATAAAGCTATGACGCTGATTTTTTCCGTGGTTGTTATCTACTGATGTTAGCTTCCGTGTTGATATTAGTTTTTAGGTTTTAGGGGTTATTTATTAAGTTATTGCGAGTTAAACTTTTTGGCGGGAACTTTTCCCGCCAACAGTCTTTTAAGTTGTTTTGGATAAACTAATCGCGATAATAGCGTGAAATTTCAATAGAAGGTAAAGCTAAATAGTATACACAATCTATTAGAGTTCGGACGTCGGGGGTCGAATACTTTTTCTTTTTTTCGATTTTTTAGTTTTCCTTTGTGGAATATCGGTTGCAAAACTACTTTCCTCTAGGAATTTTACGGTTAAATTTTAATACGTTTTAACGGAATACCTTATAGTCAATTGTGTTAAGTTAGGCACTTCTAGCTAATCTAAAACTTGTAAAAGTTGGGAAAATCTGAGGAGCTCACTTGGTGGCCGGTCCGGTCCGGTAGCCCCCTGGTGGTGGAATCGACGATATGGAAAGCGAGAAGCCCTGTGTTTAAGCTAGAGATTGAGGTACACATTAGGAATCAAGAAGCCTGGACCAGTTCAAATATAGACACTTGCCGCCATGCGCCATCGTTGGCTCGTCAGCATACAGATGAGGGGGGCTCACACATAATCATTAAGTTCTTTGGGCAAGCAGATGCATACGTGCGTGCCCGTGCTGCACGTGCGTGCTTGCGCTTGCCAAAACAAATAGCGCACGGACTGTGCAGCCGCTCTCGTAACCGACCCGCTTTTAGCGAGCGCCAAATTGGGGCCTCCATGCCGACATCTTTTCTTGACAAGATTAGGAGCCAACGAACTGGGCAAAGACGGGTTTATAAAAATATCCGCGTCCGGGAGGACACTGTGGTGTCTAAAAAGAGCCTGCCCAATGATCTCAGTGAGGAAGTGAAGCGAATGAAACACGTAGAATGCAAGAAGTGAAGGTCGGTTATGGCAGCGATGCACAATTCTGTAGAAGCACCTATATCTATCAATGAATAACAATGTAATTTAATAGCTTAGCGTATTGGTAGTGACACTCATGAATGGCGCACCTCAAACTGGAAGCGAGAAATCATACCTTCAAAACGGATGACCTGGGCGGCGTACAGAGACGTGGTCCCTGTTGCTCTGCCGGCCTTCTCATCGGGCCAGATAACCTTTACCCAATTTTTTTTTTGCAACGGATCCCTGTACCGTGGCCATGCACTCGCGTTGTGTTCACAAGGGTTGCACCCCTGGATAAGACTGACGGACGCCACCGCCAAAGAACCGTCGTCGAAGCTGTACAAGGCCAACGTGTCCATGGTACACGCGCAAAGTACACGCGCAACCGCCACAACGCCAGAACTGAACAAAGCGCGAAAAATTCTTACATCCGGGATCTTCATTTAGGATTCTGGATTTGGATATAGATTATGGAAGTTACTTCAAAATCGAAAGTACACGTGGCCCGTTAGCTGCTTCGTCGCCTGTGAGCAGCTGACTGACTTGGGGAGACAAAAGGGACTACCAATAAAGATACCAATAAAAGTATACCAATAGATATACCAATACAGAGGCCATAGATCGTGGTCACATAAAATGGCTCATTGTACCGTCTTGCATCCGCAAGCAACCATTCGGACATGGATACGGTTAGAAACCCGTGTTTAGCATGCCTTTATAGCATTTAATTGGAGCGCTTGCAATCTTGTCGCGTGCCAAACGTGCATTTATTCCTAGAAATTCTCGGCGATCGTAATCCGCAACGCAAATGAATCTCGGAGGCAATCGCGACTGCTGTGATTTGCATTTGTCGTGAACACGCGTTTAACGAACAAACCTTTTCAACGGACGTGCACGCTTTCCAGTGACGGATTCGGCTGATGCCTTCCAAATACAAGCGCTATCTCGAAGAAGATGTGTTGCTACCACCGAGGACGGCCAGAAGAAAAAAATGGCAAGCACCACAGGTAAAAAGTTTTGTATTTTACGAATAAAAAAAAAAAAAAGAAAGACGTTTAAGCAAATTCACACATTTACAACCGAGTATCCGGTCCTAAGACGTCGTGCAAGAGGCTTAAAAACTGGTATCGTCTCTCTCGGTCGTACTCGGTTACAATTATATATCTTGAGAGAAACACCTTAGACACCAACTCAAGTCTGTTACGTCACACCATGGCAGTGGTACTGCAGACACTTTCAGTTCAATGGGTGTGGGCAAAACAAGCCAGGCAAGGCGGGCCTTGGTATGGCATTTTGGTACATGCCAGTGGCAACCTCGTTCTGATCAAATTGCCACAGAGTTGTGTAGGCTCAGACTGTGCTGAAAAAGCTTGCAAATGCACCAGAATAAGTTTTTGGCACATTGATACTGTAGACGGGGATGGTTGCGTGTCAAGTGACGAACGAACGTTTATTGCCAGGAGCAACATAATATATACCATACGTGTGAGCAGTGAAACAGATGAGCATGGTGACTGATAACATGAGAGCACAACCGTGGCTCGCGTTAGACACTTTATGAACAAGTTCTGAACAAGAAAACATGCCCAAACTCAAATGCTAAAACATGTTTTTCGTGTTAAGTACGTCAAAATATTATGCACTGGAGAAAATAAGCTTTCATTGTTAGGTCTTTCTTCAAACACTTTGTGTTCATGTTCTGCTCACTAAAATACATTGCGAAAGAGAATGAAAGTGTACCTGATCTCACGACACCAACATATCCTTCTGCACAATTAAGTCCGTCTGCTATGAATGGATGTACGCAGAAGCCTAGCTCTTGAAGCCTGCATTTATTGGTGCCATTTTTCTGAATGCCGTCTGCTAAAACAGAGAAGTTTTAGCAGACAGCGGTTGCCTCGGCTGGAAGCAGTCACCTTGGTTGCCTGCACCTTGGCTGCCGGTGTCTTGTTTCAGGCATACAGTACCCCACCCCCTGAGCCCTTGCCGGTGTATTCCGACAAGGCTGGGCACAAGCTCGAGCCTGAGATTAAAACTCCCCGAGCAGAGCGAAGTGGGGGGTGGTTGCGTGTAGTGTGGCCTGTTTGTTAGCCTTACTTCTTCTGACGACACACGGCCGCTACGTCCCCTAGGTACATTTGATTTTAACAGACGACGCCCGGACAAATGGCATCTGCCTTTGCTGGCTTTAGATCAAGAATGTCAAAGAAGTTTCCCCTCACCTTCCGGATATCTTCCATTTCATCTAGCCTTCTTGCTGGGAGATGAACCCTTAGTTCCTTTTGGTCACATTTTAGATTTTCTACGAAGAATGGGCTACCTGCACCAGTTATAAATTTTCTGCATAGTAATTCCTTTTTTTTTACTATAGACTTTTTTAACCATTTCTTTGGCGCAGCATAGCCTATGTTGCTTTTTGCGCCATTAAACACTTAATAATGAATCAATCAATCCTTTGCTGGCTTCAAACGCTGGTCTCATGTTTGTGTGTAGATTCATTCAACTTCTGGGGCGGAAGGACACGGTGGTGTAATGAGACTAGGTGCATGCTTAGGTCCTTTTACAATGCATTTATATGGGCAGAAAAATGATCAAAAAGAGTTCAAGGTAAGGACTGAACGTCTAGGGCTGGCTTTCTCCAACGCCTAATATTTTGACGCGCCTTAGACAAAATGCATAATTTTGTGGTGCTCCGACAACTAGCTTTTTTTACCTGTAACATGGTGCGAAAGTGTCATTCTGCCAAGTTTTCCCTTGCTTCCTGTTGGCCCAATCAATCAAAAAAATAAAGCCACCATAAAAAAAAAGAAAAAATCTGTTCATATTATTTATTGCACCTCCACTGCCTAAGTGGGAAGCCCTTTGTTGGGTTCCCAGAGACTTGATGTCATAAGTATTACTTTTGACCTTCTATCATTAAAGCCCCA